TAAAGCAAAACCTCTAAAAGAAAACCTTAGGTGTGGTCAGTTATAAAAAAAAAATAAAGCATACTAATTTACAGGTACAGGATTTAGAAATTAAAACTCTAAACCAAGTAAGTACAATAGCAGTATTTTGGCTTTATCAAGCCAACACAATTAAAGGGGTCATATGATGCTGCTAAAAAGAACATTGTGTTAGAATGAGCCGTTTTAGGTAGGCGTGGTTGACTCTAAACTTTTATAAAGAATATCTCTTTGGATTTAAGACTTTAGTCTTTGCAACTTTACAGATCTTCTTTATGCACCAAGAGCTTGTAACACTCCAAAGAGAAAGGAAAAATTGAAATCGCATCATATGACCCCTTAAAGCAACATCCAGGAAGCCTCATTCTATTGTTTATATGTATTTGCAGGACAGCAGAGACTGTGATGTCCTAATGGGACATGGGTCCATAGATCAGTCACGTCAAACAGAGCAGCGGACACACAGACGCCTGCCTTTGTGTGTCTGACCGGCGGCTCACAGATGTGCCAAAAGAGAAGACAATCTAGAAAGTCAAGGGGAAGGAGTGATGACCTTAAAAAAATAAATAAAAAAAAAACAGAAATAAGGCAATCAAGGATCATTTCTGTTTTCCACTTTTTAAAGCACTGCAGTATTTTTACTATTTCTTTTTTAAATAATTTTGTCTTATGATTTTTTATCGTTTTAAAAAAATGTTATTTGAATGAAAAAAAGTAAAAAATAAAAAAAAAACATTTTTAAACAATTTTTAAATATATATTTTTTTCTTTTTTAAATAATTTTGTATTATGATTATTTTAGTAATTTTGAATTTATTTTCTAAAGAAAAAAAAACTAAACTTCCAAGATGAATCACAACATTGCAACATTGGATTTAAATGAGAACAGTTTTTTTTTAAACATTTTTTTTCCTCATAATTTTTTATAATTTTGTCTTCTAACTTTATAATTAAATTCATATAACGATTCATATAAAATCCAATTAATTTAATATTTATTGCAAAGTTTGAGACTGTAAAGAAACTATTACATAATTTGCAATGCATACGGCATGGAGAAAACAAACTGTTGCACTCTTTTGAATATCCAAGGCATGGCATGCATAAATAAAATTAATATGCTAATAATAGTTTCTGAGCATCTGGCGTTTGATCAATGAAAGCAGCTTTATGTTTTTCATACTGATAAGATTGAGATTACCTGCTGTCTGGTGTCACATGCCGTTCTCCGACAGTTGAGGGTCATTTCCTAAGCAAGGTGTGAACAATGATGAATGATGAGGAGAATTATAATGAGTTAAGAATCCCCGGAGACGCCGAGAATAAATGATGTCTGAAACAAGAAAAGATATTAGCAAAGCATTCGCTCTGTTTTCAAGAACAATCTGATAAAATCGTCCCAGCTGTGACTCAAGCCTCATTTAAAGGCACAATAGAGACAGTTATGAATTGAGAAAGATTGAGTGAGCTGCGCATTCCTCTTCCAAACTATTATCTCTAAGGTCATTTGTATTAGACCAGCCTATGTTTAAAATATTGGAGACAATACATCAATCACAGGAAGGCATACATGAATGATTTGCCAATCCAGTAGATTCACCTGAAAAAACCTTTAGAGTATAAGGATGGAATATTCACAATGATTTCACTGGTTATATAAAATTAAGCAACATTGTGAATAATTGCATTTTTATTTTTCCAGTTTACGTGTGTCATTACGCAAACGTACACAAAAATAAGAGGTCTTAGGCGAAGTTCATTTCGGAGTTTAATGAATCAGTTCAAAACTGATTCAGTGATTCGCTTCTGTTCCAAACAAATCACTTAAACTGATCAAAATAAGATATAGAAATAAATAATTTACAATGTTTGTTTGGTTGAAATAAATAAATATTTTTAAGTCAAATCAGACAAAACACATAAATATCAAGATACATACTCAGAATCCTCAGTTTTAAAGGGGTCATATGATGTTGCTAAAAAGAACATTATTTGGTGTATTTGGTGTAATGAAATGTGTTTATGTGGTTTAAAGTTCAAAAAGTTGATGCCCTGTCCGGCCGGAGCGACGAGACAAAAACATTAAAACCCATTATAAACGAGGCATTTGTTGCAGCCAGTGGGGACTTAATTACTGATTATAATGACTTATTCTGTCTTTTTATGTGTTGCGTTGCATCGTGCCGCGTAAACATAAAACCATGTCTGCATTTGTGATCGGAGAAATGACAAACTACAAGT